GAGTACAGGGTATCTGAAGGACTATATCTTCCTATATGAGTCTGCCTGAGGTATGCGAGTACAGGGACTGGGTCTTCTCAGTGGTTGTTCCAGACCAGGGGTAGGCAACCTTTTTGAGCAGGGGGCCGGGTTGCTGTCCCTCAGACAATTGGGGGGCCGAAGCACTAAAAATAAATAAATAAATAAATAAATAAATAAATAAAATTAAAACAATTAAAATGCATATGCATGCTCACTCTCTCAGCTCCAGAAAAGCCATGGCAAAACCCCTGTGGAGATTTTGCCAAGAAAACCCCAAGAACAAGTAATAACAACAATAATCAATATCATTATGGCGGGCTGCGGGGGGGGGGCGGCGGCAGGACCAGCCTGGGGTCGGTCCAAAGACCTCACAGGGCCGCATCCGGCCCCCCGGGCCTTAGGTTGCCTACCCCTGTTCCAGACTTTGGATTTGGGGGCTAGGATGGCATCCTCCTTGCTTTCCTTCCACTTGAAAATGAAAACATTTCTATTCCAACAGGTGTTGTTGTTTTCAAATCCTGTCTTTTAATGACTTTTAAAATGGTTTCAGTCTTTTAATGACTTTTAAAATGTATTTTACTGATGTTTTTGTATTTTTAAAATCTGTTCTGGTTTTAATATTCTGTAAGCTGGACTGAGACCCAATATTAGGGGAAAGTCAAGATAAAGAGAAACAAAATGAAATGAAGTAGACCCCCAGCATTTTGCACCATTGCCTATGCTGCTGGGAGTTGTGGTTAACAACATCTGAAGAGACACATGGTTCCCTCCCCTGGTTTATACTGATTGACAAACTCTTGTAGGAATCATCACTTGATGCTGCTGTCACAGAGTAGTAAATTCTCCCATAATGAGAAAAGGTTCTTGCTCTCTTTCTTGCCTCAAGTACTCAGTTGGGGGACAGATCCAGTTTTACCTAGAATGCATAGCAACTTTCCTGTAGCCACATATTTCAATGATTTCTGATTTTTGAGATCACAAGAAGGTAGCCATCTAAAGTGTCATCCAGAACTGGGGATTTACTTCATTTAGCAAAGCATTTATCTTTGCTAAAGAGGATAATCCACATGCCAAACTCAGCATGCTTTTCCTCAGCTGCTTCTCTGCTATTAGCAAGCAGAACCAGTAGTACAACATATCAAAGTTAGCTACAATTGGAACTACTTTCCATTCATGCCAATACAGATGCTGATGGAGTCTCTTCACACTCCACACATTTTCTGGGTGGATTCTGATCATAGCAAATTTCTGATTGACCTGTGACAAAGTGGTAGTGGTGATGATGATGAATATATTTATTTATTTGTATGTCACCTTTCTTCTAAACTTGGGACTCAAGTGTCTTATAACTTAAAAAAACATATAGCTAAAAAAACATTAAAAAGTGAACATTAAAATTCAATTGAACTAGTCACAGTATAAAAGAAATTCCAAGCTACATCTGAAAGGATAAAACTGAAACTAAAAAGATTTGTACTGCTACCCCCCACCTCCTCCAGCTATGATTTTCCTGTTGTGCATGTTCACCAGAAGAAGCCTCAGTTCTCCACTTTGTGCTTGGCATGCATGCAGCTATAAGAGACACAGAAGAGCTCCCCATATGCGTACAAGGCTGGCCTGAACTATTTTGCAGCCTGATACAAATAAGCTTATTGCATGCCACTTAAGGAACGGGAACGGAATGGGGCAAAAACACATTTTATTGGATGAAAGAACTCCACCGATGCCGCCAGGAGTTCCCAAGATGTTCCCCAGCCATTCCTGGCAGCCAATTTTTGAAGGACAGTTCAAAATCATTCTTCAAAATCAGCTGCCAGGAACAGCTGGGGAACGCCTTGGGATTCCCGGCAGCATTGGTGGTGTTCTCCTGTCCAGTAAAATGTGTTTTTGACCCGTCCCATTCCCGTTCTTGTAAGTGCCATGTGATAAACTTAAAAGACAAGGTTGTGTCCCCACCCTCATTATACATATAGAAGCAGCTGGAACTCCCTTCAACACTAGCAATGTGATGAGAACATCTGTGCTACCTGAGGGCACAGGGAGAGTTTAGTAGCATAAAACAGACTGTGTGGTGTAAGTGTGGCTGTGTGATAAAAGGACAGCTTAATAGCATAAAACTGTGTGGCCCTCTAACAGAAGGGAAAAGCCAAGAGGCCTTGTTCCCATTATGATTTAAAGCAAATTGCTGATCAGTTTATATGACCATCATTCCCACTTGAAACTGGTTCTGATCCTACTGTAAAGGTAAAGGTAAAGGTAAAGGTAAAGGTATTCCCTGCTAACAAGGTTATCAAGTCATGTCTGACCGTAGGGGTCGGTGCTCATCTCTGTTACTAAGCTGAAGAGCCAGCATTGTCAGAGACTAGTCTGTGATCAAGAGGCCAGCATGATTGCACAGAACACTGTTTACCTTCCCACCAAAGTGGTACCTATTTGTCTACTTGCATTTGCATGCTTTCGAACTGCTAGGTTGGCAAAAGCTGGGACTAGTGACAGAAGCTCACCCCTTCATGAAGCTCTTGGGCCTCAAACTGCCAACCTGCCAACCTTGCAATCAACAGAGTCAGCGTCTTAACCACTTGAGCCACTGCATCTCATACCGTGCTCAGTTGCAATCATGATAAAGTGAGGCAAATGCAAATTAAAAAAAAACACCCCAAAAACGCTGTTTCTTGACACTAGTTTTTTGGCGGTTCTTTTGAAAAGAATCAATTCTTAAGTGTGTTCAACAAGTGGGAACAATGGATCTGAATAATCATTCTGGAGGGGAGGGACTAATGGCA